GGACCCCTATATCCCCCTGATCACTGGCTCTGCCCCCCACCCATGCCTGATGCCTCTGGCCCAGGCATCAGGCCTGGGCAGGGGAACCCCATCTCCCCCCGATCACCGGCTCTGGGGCTTCTGGGGCCGGCCTGTGGCCCGGGATGGCGGCTCGCGCTGGCGGCTGAGCTGTCCCGCCCTGACTGCAGTATGCAAATTAGCTGCCATCTTTGTTGGTGGTTAATTTGCATATCACACGATTAGCCAATGGAAGGCGTAGCGAAGGTACGGTCGATTACCATGTTTGTCTATTATTAGATAGGATATTACTTTAATTCTTTATTGTTTAAAGTATTACATATAGTATTACATATGTCTCCTTTTTCCCCCATTGACCACTCCCCAGCCACCCCTATCCCCCTAGTGTCTGTATCCATTGGTTATGCTTATATGCATGCATACAAGTCATTTGGTTAATCCTTTACCACCACCACCATCACCCCACCCCACCCTGCCTTCCCTCTGAAGTTTGACAGCCTGTTGGATGCTTCTCTGTCTCTGGACCTATTTTCGTTCACCAGTTTATATAGTTCATTATATTCAACAAATGAGTGAGATCATATGATATTTATCTTCCTCTGACTGGCTTATTTCACTTTGCATAATGCTCTCTAGGTCCATCTATGCTGTTGCAAGGGGTAAGAGTTCTTTCTTTTTTACCACAGCATAGTATTCTATTGTGTAGATGTACCACAGGTTTTGAATCCACTCATCTGCTGATGGGCACTTAGGCTGTTTCCAAATCTTAGCTGTTGTAAATTGTGCTGCTATGAACATAGGGGTGCATATGTCCTTTCTGATTGGTGTTTCTGATTTCTTGGGATATATTCCTAGAAGTGGGATTACTGGGTCGAATGGGGATTCCATTTTTAACTGTTTAAGGAAACTCCATGCTGTCTTCCACAGTGGCTGCACCATTTTGCATTCCCACCGGCAGTGCACGAGGGTTCCTTTTTCTCCACATCCACGCCAGCACTTGTCGTTTGTTGATTTGTTGATGATAGCCATTCTGATGGGTGTGAGATGATATCTCATTGTCATTTTGATTTGCATCTCTTGGATAATTAGTGACTTTGAACATGTTTTCATATGTCTCTCGGCCTTCTGTATGTCCACTTTCAAAAAGTGTCTATTTAAGTTCTTTGCCCATTTTTGATTGAATTATTTATCTTCCTTTTTTTAAAGATGTATGAGTTCCTACCATACAGGCCTCTAGGGCAGTGATTTTTAACTGGTGTGCCCTAAGAAGTTTTAAAACGTGCAATACCTGACTATTTAGTCAGAGGCACTGACCTCTTTTCCCTTAGATTATCAATAATAATAAAAAAAAGACAACAGCCAGCATAACAATAGCTGTCCGTTATGAATGAATCAAAATTACACCTATTTTTTTTTTCAGATTGGCAAAAAATATATTTTTTGGTGTGCCGCAGAATTTTAGTAATTAGTTTGTGTGCCATGAAATGAAAACGGTTGAAAAATCACTGCTCTGGAGCCTTTATTTTTGCTCTACACCCAAGGCTTGACTGTCACTGTAAGTTACTTGGCTCGTGGAAATGAAGATGTGGGTAAAGTAGAAAATGATACAACCCAGGGATTAGGGGAGCCTGTCTTTTAAGTGGTAATGCAGAAAGGTGATGGTCCAAGCAAAAGTTTGGAACTTGTGACTTCATGGACTTCGCGCTAAGGTATGGCATGATCTTTGTCGCTTGCATTACTGTGTGCATAGTTGCAATTGTTCCTGCAGGATTCTAGGCTGAGTAAAACAGTCTAATCTCAGAGGAGACAAGCGCCACCTGCTGGTATCCTCTTCCCAAACCTCCTCTCTCACCAACCCCTTTTTTTCACTCAGACTCCCAGTCTTTTAAAAACCAGGCTTGATGGTAATGATAATAATAACAAATGAAAGTTTACTTACATAACTTATAAGAACTAACCTACCTTCCCCTTTCTTTGCTGGTTTTTCCCTAAAAGGGAAGTGAGGAACAAAGAGAGACAGAAAAATTTTTCAAATGAAAACCTTCAGCTAAAGCCAGGTGGTAGTTTTGTGAGCTGTTTGTAGGGTGTAACTGAATATGTTTGTCAGACTGCAATTGTAGTTCAGACCACAAATTGTGGTGATGCATTATATAGGACATAATCTTTTTTTAAAAAAAGACCACCAATTCTTTTTCAGAGGAAATGATGGAAGGTGAGTACAGGACTTGCATTTTAACAAATATTCAGTTAAATATATTAGGTTGACCTAATCAATATAGCTTGCTTTACATTCTACAGATTACTAAAGAGTAAACTCCTTGAGGGAGGGAACTGTTCATCTTTGCAACTGCCTCCCCACGTTCCAAAATCTAGAGAAGTACTTTGTACACAATGAATATTAGTAATTGAGCATTGTACAATAGACCAAGTATTCTACAGGTTGTCATTTGTTGCTATAACTTTCAAACGAGGTCCCTGAATAAAGGAGTTTTACCTGAAAATGGAGGAGAATATTTGACCCTTGAAACTGATCTCAGTTATTTCTAAATATTCAAGCAATTCAACAAGCCATTTTTGTTGTTGTCGT